CTCGACGCCGCCTGCCGGTCGCTGATCCCGCCGGGCGCCGCGACGAAGGTGCTCCTGACGCTCGGCGCGCGCGGCAGCCGCCTCGTGTCGCGCGACGGCCCGACGCTCGCGTCGCCCGCGGTGCCCGGCGTCGCGGCCGTCGACGCGACGGCGGCGGGCGACGCCTTCCGCGCGGCCTTCGCCGTCGCCCTCGCCGAGGGCCGCGGCGAGGGCGACGCGCTGGAGCTCGCGGCCGCGGCGGGCGCCGCGGCCGTGTCCAAAGCTGGCGCGCTCCCGTCGCTGCCGACGCGCGGCGCCTGCGACGCGCTGCTAGGCGTGGGCCGGGGCGGCGGCGGCGGCCCCCGGACCTCCGCGGGCCGGGGCGGCGGCGGCGGCCCCCGGACCTTCGCGGGCCGGGGCGGCGGCGGCTGCCCCTGGACCTTCGCGAGCCGGCTCAACTCCATGAAGGACCGCCGCGACCTCGCCGGCGACACCGCGGACGACGTGTTGGGCTGGGTCGCGCGGCAGGGCACGATCGCGGGCTTGGACCACGTCGACTTCAACTTCCCGCAGCACCTCGCGGGCCTCGACGCCGGCGCCGTGGCGGCCGCGCTGGACGACGCGGGCCTCACGTGCGGCGCCGTGTGCCTCCGGTACCCGTCGCCGGAGTTCTCCGCCGGCGCTTTGACGCACCCGGACGCGGCGGTCCGCGCCAAGGCCGTGGCGCTCACGGTCGAGGCCTGCGACTGGGCGGCGAAACTCGGAACCGACGAGGTCGTGGTCTGGTCCGCGTTCGACGGCTACGACTACGCGTTCCAGTGCGACTACGACGACCTCTGGGCGCGGCTCGTCGCGAGCTTCCGCGCCGTCTGCGACGCGCGGCCGGCGACGCGGGTGTCCCTCGAGTTCAAGCCCACGGACGAGCACACGCGCTGGTTCGCGGTGCCGTCGACGGGCGCGGCGCTGCTGCTCTGCGCGGACGTCGACCGCGCGAACTTCGGCCTGACGCTCGACGTGGGCCACTGCCTCGCCGCGGGCGAGAACCCGGCCCAGTCCGTCGCCGCCGTCGCCGCCCGCGGCCGCCTCTTCGGCGTCCAGCTCAACGACGGCTACACGCGCCTCGGCGCCGAGGACGGCCTCATCTTCGGCTCCGTGCACGCGCTCGCCGCGCGCGAGGTCGTCTACTGGCTCCGCAGGGCCCGCTTCGCCGGCCACGTCTACTTCGACACGTTCCCGCGCAACGAGGACCCCGTCCGCGAGTGCGAGCTCAACATCCGCCAGGTCCGGCGGCTCTACGACGCCGCGGGCGACCTCGACGTCGCCGACGCGCAGCGCCGCCACGACGCCCTCGGCGTCCTCGAGCTCCTCGAGGCGAGGGGGGACCTGTAAAGTATGGCGGCACGACGGGTTCAACGTGTTCGTTTGTTTGCCGCGCAGCAGCCCCGGGGACGTCGCAGGTCAAGGCCCTCGAGATGAACGCCCGCGAGCGCTCGTTCCTGGCGGAGGCGCAGCGCCATGTTGACTCCGGTCGCAGCCTTGGCGCGCTCGTTTATGTGTATTTCGAGGGCGACGGCGTGCGCATCCGGGAGGATGCAGGTGGATATACGCGCCTGTGGTACGCAGCGCGCAAGGGCTGGTGCTCGGCCATCACGTGGCTCCTCAAGCGCGGTGCCAACGTCCACGTGGGCCTGCCGAGTCGTGGTTTGACGCCACTGCACGCCGCTGCTGCCTGGGACCGACGCGATGCAGCGGTCCTCCTGCTCGACGCGGACGCGCGAGTCGATGATCGCTCCAGCGGCGGGTGGACCGCGCTCCACAATGCCGCCGCCAAGGGACACACCGACATGTGCAAGCTGCTCCTGAGCCGCGGCGCGTCGCTCGACGTGCGCAACAACTACGGCGACGACCCCGAGGCCTTCGCGCGACGCCGCGGCCGCACGGCCGTGGCCGACGTCCTCGCCGCGGTCCGCACGGTGGGCGGCTGGGTGGCCTACGTGGCCGCCCTGCGCGTCCAGCTGCGCGTGCTCCGCATCCTTTGCGAGAAGGGCCGCGCCGTGGCGCCGCCGGGCCTGCTGGCGCGCCTCTTCCCGTGCGAGACCGAGCGCCGCGCGTCCCTCCGCAGCGCGCGCAACGCGCCCGCCGAGCTCCCGCAGGAGGTTTTTTGGCACATCGTCAAGTTCTGGCGCAGCGACCGCGACCCGCGGTACTGAGCGCAAGGACACCCCCTCGTCTGACTCGACTCGGAGGAGTCTCGTCTGTAATCCGACAAATGTGTGCATACCTCCTAGTTCTCCCTACCCTACCAGCGCGCTATGGCTTAGTTCTTAACGCCCCCGACTTCGAACCCCACGAGCAGCGCGGTCTCGCAGCGCGGCCCCGTCGATCGAACGAGCGCGAAGCGCGAGGCGCGCCGCGAGCGAATGTTCGAAGCGCCGGCCGCGGTCCGCGAAAGTCTTCCTCCGAAAGGGTGGTGTTCGAAAACACCGGTGTGGTTGTGTGAGTGGGCGGCCCGGCGGGTCTTGGTCTTGGTGTCGAGGCGCCCGGGCTCAGCGGGAAGATTTACCCGCCGAAGCCGTAGAGCGTGCGGCCCTGGCGCTTGAGCGCGTAGACGACGTCCATGGCCGTGACCGTCTTGCGGCGGGCGTGCTCCGTGTACGTGACGGAGTCGCGGATGACGTTCTCGAGGAAGACCTTGAGGACACCGCGGGTCTCCTCGTAGATGAGGCCGCTGATGCGCTTGACGCCGCCGCGGCGAGCCAGGCGGCGGATCGCGGGCTTCGTGATGCCCTGGATGTTGTCGCGCAACACCTTGCGGTGGCGCTTGGCGCCGCCCTTGCCGAGTCCCTTGCCTCCCTTTCCGCGTCCAGACATGATGTAGATGTGTTGATTGCTTGTGTTTAGCAAAACTGGGAGGCCGTCGATCTCGTGAGCGGCCGCCGGAGCGGACCTCGTGATCTCGATTCTGATTGGCTGAAAATCTTCAGGCAACGAACTTGAAGTTCAAAATAAAAGCCTGAAGAAATTCGACCAATCAAAAGCGAGATCACGAGGTCCGCTCCGGCGGCCGGCCTCGAGCTTATCAAGGCCTCGTCCAAACACCAAACAACACCATGGCCCGCACGAAACAGACCGCACGCAAGTCCACGGGAGGCAAGGCCCCCCGCAAGCAGCTCGCCACCAAGGCGGCGCGCAAGTCCGCCCCGGCCACGGGCGGCGTCAAGAAGCCCCACCGCTACCGCCCGGGCACCGTCGCGCTCCGCGAGATCCGCCGCTACCAGAAGTCGACGGAGCTCCTCGTGCGCAAGCTCCCCTTCCAGCGCCTCGTCCGCGAGATCGCCCAGGACTTCAAGACGGACCTCCGCTTCCAGGGCTCCGCCGTCCTCGCGCTCCAGGAGGCCGCGGAGGCCTACCTCGTCGGCCTCTTCGAGGACACGAACCTCTGCGCGATCCACGCCAAGCGCGTCACGATCATGCCCAAGGACATCCAGCTCGCGCGCCGCATCCGCGGCGAGCGCTCCTAAGCGTCGTCCTGGTCGCCCCGCCGCCGCGCGTCGCTCGGCGGCGACGACCGCCCCAAACCACAACCGGTGTTTTCGAACACCACCCTTTGGACAGAAGAGATGTGTTTCAAGCATGCGATGTCGAGAAGCACCTCTCTCGGGAGAGGCCTCGGCGGACCGCCTCGCGTACCGCCTTGCTCGCCTCGCGAACCGCGCGCCCGCCTCGCTCGCTCGGCCCTCGCTCGCGCGCTCTTCGCGTTCTGCGCGCTCGTCTCGCGCGCCCGTCGCGCGCGCACCCCCTCCTGCCTACAGTAAGCTTTACACTAGATGCCCCGCCCCTCGTTGATGCGGAACGAAACCCCGACTCTCTACACGTCCCCTATGCCCACTGTAGTAGATATGGGTAGCACGACGACGGCGTGCAGACCACGGGCCAGGCGGCCTCCGCGGGCGGCGCCGCCGCCGCGGCGCCGCAGAAGGAGGCGCTGTACTTGAGGTGCCACTGCGCGTCGCGGCGGAACGCGCTGCCAGTGGACGCTGCCAGTGGACCGCGCGCTGGACCGCGCGCTGGACCGCGCCTCCGAGTCCGAGTCGCTCGCGCTCGACGCGCGGTCGCGGATCGGCGGCCAAGACCCGACGCACGACGCGGCGGCGGCGAGGCGCAGCGCAGCGGCGAACCACCGGAGGGCGCGCATGGCTGCCTGGGGGTCGATGGACCAGGCGAGGTGAAGTCGAGGTGAAGCTTGTGGAGACGATCGATCGTGCGGAGCTCTCCGGCAGCGTGGCAGCGCCCAGACCCGCGCGCCGCGACGAGCTCTCGTTCGCGCAGTGGCCCGACCCAGTCCGCTGCGTCGCCATGGTCACGAAGCCCTTCTGGGAAGAGAGCTCCGACGACGAGGCACCCGAGCCGCCGAAGAAGCGCCGGAAGAGGCCTCCTGGACGACAGCAGCAGCGACGACGAGAAACAGACGGGCGCCGCTCGCGGGCGCTCCCCGTCGAATGCCATCGACATCGACGACGACGAAGACGAGACGGGCGCTGCTCGCGGGCGCTGCTCGTCGAACGCCGTCGAACTCGACGACGACGAAGACGACGCGGCGGCGCCCCGCGCGCCTCCCGCCGCGCGGGTCCGAAGCTTCGCGGAGTCGCACCGCGTCTACGCCAACGCGCTGAAGCGGATTTCGCGTCCGGCGTCGGCCGACGACCTCGCGCCGCGGGAGCTCTTCGCGGGCGTGACGAGCGCGCTCGTCACGACGTTCGGCACGAACGCGGCCCGGCAGACGAAGAAGTTCCTGCGCGCGCACGCGCCCCGGGACGCGCGGGTCGTCGTCGTCGTCGACGGCGAGGCGCTCCGCGGCGA